GTGTTCAGCACAAACGCGAATTCAGGTAAGAATTGATCCCATTCTTTGTGATTTCCCCGAAGATACGACGTGATTATTATCTTCAACATACGGTTAACCTTTTCAATAGGGTTTAGATTAGCCTGAGGAGTGTAAGTCGATGTAAACTTCCGGCTCACCCTTCAAGTAACCTTCTACAAGCTAGTTCTTGACTTCTGTACCGTTATTGAACAGGAAGACCTAGGCCCACCAAAGCGTATGATCACTCGTTCCTTGAATTTTTTCATGATCGACTTTGCGCTGCGTATGGGAACACATTTTATCCATCGCGTGAACAAATCAATGAATACGAGTACATACTTGTGTCTTCGAGAGCTACTAGGAAATGGACCGGCGATGTCGCCAGCTATTACCTTCCACGGCACGGACAATGCCTGGTCTTTCATCAACCCGCGTGGGAACTGCTTTTCGACCTTGCACTGTTGACAAACTTGGCACTTTCTGACATACCCTTTGATGTCATTATACCAGGGGTATTCAAAAAGTAAGATGACTATAGTTTTCTCAAAATATATTTATTTATTGGTCAATAATTATGTCGTCCCCTTCAAAGTAATCCCCGTTAGATATAATACACTTGTGCCAGCGCTTTTTCCAATCATCGAAGCACTTTTGATAATCATTTTAAGGTGTAACCTTAAGATCTTTCAACGATGCAGTTTTTATCTCCTCAATCGTTGAAAATCGATGTCCTTTCATGGGTTTTTTAAGTTTTAAGAAAAAAAAAGTCATTAGGGGCCAAATCCGCTGAATATAGAAACTGAAGCATGACTGTAGTGTTGATTTTAGCCAAAAAATCTCTCACGAGCAACGATGAATGAGCAGGTGCATTATCTTGATGTAAAATCCATGAATTTTCTAAAGTTTCGGACGTTTTTTGCGTATTATCTCTCGCAAACGACGCATAAATTCAAAATAATACTTCTTATTGACCATACGACCTTGTGGTGAGAATTCATGATGAACTGCGCCATGGTAATCAAAGAAGACAGTAAGCAAAACCTTGACATTTGATCGAACTTAGCGTGTTTTTTTGGGTGTTAGCTCTTCTGGGGTCTTCCATTGGGACGATTACGAACTTTAGTTTCGACATCATAACCCACGATTCATCACCAATTATAACCATTTTGAGAAAATCAGGATCTTCATTGAAATTCATTTAACATCTCCTGAGCGATGGTCATGCGACGGTTCTTTTGATCAAAATTAAGCAATTTTGGAACGAATTTCGCTGACACACGTCTCATGCCTAAAACATCCGAAAGAATATCATGGCATGAGCCAACCGATATGCCAACATCTTCTGCAATTTCTCTGATGGTGATTCGACGATTTTTTAACACAATTTCTTTCACTGTTTCAACGTTTTTATCTGTTATTGATGTGCTGGGACGTCCAGGGCGAGGTTTGTCTTCGACATTCTCTTAGCTTTCTTGGAACAGCTTATACCACTTATACAGATTTTTCTTACTCAGAATAGACTCACTGTATACAATTGTCGACATTTCAAGAGCTTTAGAGTACTGGATTCCATTTTTCACATAAAATTTAATGCAAACTCTTTGCTCCATTCTTTTCGATAGAAGAAAATCGTCGAGTACACCAAACACTTCTAACCTCTGACGCCTCTGTCAGAAAAACAACACGTGCTATATAGTCAAAACTTTGAATATATGATCGTGGCAAGTGTACCAATACAACAACAAACATTCAAAACTTAAATGTATGTAGCCCGCGATAATTGAAGTCACCTTACTTTTTGAATAACCCTCGTACATACCTGACCATTAGTAAGACTGGGCGATGTAGGCGAATGTATTCTCTCGACCCAAATGGCCAGCAGTCTCCATATTGTGATTCTTGAATAGAACACTCAATACATTTGAGTAGCTTGGTGAAGTCCTGCTCTCGTTTTCCGGAAGCTTTTAGCCTCTTAGGTCGACCCTTGGGGGTCGAACTTCGTCTCTCAAAGTTCGATTTCATCACCTCCAATATTTCCTTAAAAGACAACAGTACTTGGTTCACTACATCAGGCCGTGTACCTTTCTTATTGTTCTTACTCGCGGCTAGGGTCGCATTTGAGGTTCCACTTGTGTCGGCGTATAAACCACCTGATGCGTCACCTTTTCCAATACCTTTTCCATCCAATCTAGCCGATCGTCGACCTCTGACTTCTCGAGAGCCATTGCCCGTACCTTAGTCTTGTAACTCTTATTCTCGCCATTGTGAGGACAATAAGCCAACTCGGAATAGAGTCATCTATGGATCTGGTATAACGCGTTCTATACCTTAGTCTGATTTAAGATGTTTTGTGCTCCCGTGACCGGGGTGTTCATGGCAGGTGTGTATAGAGTTTATTTCAGCCCTACGTATCTGGTTTTAGATATCAACGAGGAGATTGGCATGCAGCAGGTCCAATTGGTGCTCGTACGCCATCGGTGGGTTCAAACGCCGCATCTAGCCCATTATGTTGGTCACGTATACTTTGATTAGCTCGTCTAGGCCTTGATATTGGCTTTAAACCTTTTTCATCAGTCGCTGTTACTGCTGAATGCTGGTCCCAAACCATTCTCGCGAGTCAACTTCAAACTCGGCATAGGTGAACCATTCCTTCTTCATCACCTCATACGCGCTGGTCCGGTTAGCAGTTCTGACACTGATAAGAAAATTTCTTCTTCGATGAGCCCTGCGCTGTTCCTCATGTTATAGAACCTGGAGAGGAAGGTATCTACGCTAGCATTGCCTTCTCCGGAAAACTTGAGTTTCCATCCTCTAATAATGTGACCGAGGTCTCTCGTAGTCGACCACGGGTTTATCGATTGCTGTCTTCAACATGCGTCTGGTATATGCTTATCCACTTCAGCATTAAACCTAGCAGGTTGATGCTATCCACCCCTTCCTAATGGGAACGTCCTGCGTGGGGTTCTGTCAGCCGCCCCCGTGGATCTCTGGCCGGGTGCTGCTGGCGTGTTTTGAGGTAAGTGCGCGTCATAATAGCAGGCAAATGTGTCTTGGAACGTTACACCTCTGCGAGTGCTTCCTTGTTGTTCTAGATCATCTATGTAACTCATTGGCATCTTGTACGTCTACGTTTCCTTTGTTCTCTAACACAACTATTCTGGCAGTTAAGTTTTCCTATTGTTTCTTGATCGCGTCGCTAGTGCCATATAGTGTATCCAATATCTTTGTTAAACTCGATAAGTTTTCACTTACAGTGTTTAACAACTCGAGCTTTCTTTCGTGTTCTTGAGAGAAAAATCAGGTCCTGTATCATCACAGCAAATGCGCATGATAATTGGAATTGGCTGCCGTCATCATCTGTTGCGGTAATGATTCCTGTGCTGCTAATGCCTGCGCTACGGTTCAGTACTTGCAAAATATTGATTGCTGTCTCTTGCACCCTTGATGTAACATCAGCATCTTGCATTAATTGTTGTAATGGGTGTTCGTCTTCTTATTCAGTCGCTGTATATTCAACACAGATAGACGTTATTAAATTTGAACGTAGCGCTACTCTTCTCACTCCAAATGCTTTACGTATTCACTGACCGTTTTATCTCCGAGCATTAGTAGAATTGGACAATTCTCCATATCTTTCTGCATCTGGTCCATTATTGTGGTTATCCTGTTAAATATTATTTGATATAATCACTGGTATCTTGATTTTATTACTCTTCTCTATAGACGCTACCTAGTTATTATTATTATCTGCTAATAACCGCAAATTATCGCCGTTCATTTGTCGCTTATTCAATTCGCATAGGAATCGTATACGCTCGATTTTGCGGTTTCTTTTCTTTGTTACTGTGGCTTTATTGCGTGTACGAATGTGATTTACTTAATATTTAAAACCTTTTAACTTAACTCTATTAGCAAATAAAATGCTTTGTATACGTTACATATACTATCAAACCGGTTGAGAAACTCTTTAGCTCGTTATAACGCAATACAATGATCCTACCTATCAGGCGCATTAACTGTTTGTTAGCGCGTCTATTTTAAGTATTCTTTAGATTTAATTATTATTAAATGAGCTTATCTATGCGCAAGCACCAATTTTTGCAACTACAAACTTTAATACGGCATATTTCTATTATTTAACTAAAACAAAAACAAAGAAATTCATATCCCTGCAGTGTTTGTGTTTTGACTTTATTCATTGCAATTGTTAGCACTGCAAGGTGGCGCCGTATTAGTTGAGCGCAAATGCTCAGTTGCTCTCGTAAGTACTGGTTAGCGCACGTAGTCGACTCGTCTCGCCGACATTAAAAAATTGTACATAAATGATTTTATCAGCGCTCGCGGTTTGCTTTAGCTCGTGCCGTGCTTGCTTTTACTTTGAATGTTAATATTTTCCCCAGGCCAATGCGTACAATATTGGTCAGTATCCGACAATATTCAAACCATATTGGTGATCGCACGTTAAATGTTCAAAAATCTCTCGACCGTACTCGCACGCGCTCACAATTATTACTCTAGCTTTGATTAGCCGCGACGTCTATATCCGCGGCAGACCTTTATACATTAACTCGCGACCTAACCTAATCTACCACGTGGCGTGCTTGATTATTTAAAATGTGCCCAAAAATATTTTAAATGTCTCGTGGTTTATTGACTGACCTTTGCACGATTCGGTACGTGTGTGCGTTAAGTTAGGTTATTAACGCCTCGTGCAAATGCGCATTTCACTATGAACTGGCGTTCTGACTCATCACGAATGCTACTGGTTCATTTACGTTGAGCGCCATGTAACAGGATAACTTGGTTGGTGGGCTACATTATGTACGGATTTGCGGGCGAGGCTTTTTATATGCACAAGAATAAGCGCGAGCTGCGTAAGAGTAGTTGTGATGTCACACAATGGCGTTCATTTTAGCTCCGCTCGGTACCTTTGTCAAAGATTGCCCCCACTAGTAATCACAAACGCGTCCTCTGCATCGGACCTCACACCGCGACCTTACCTTAGGCGATAGCCCTTGCTTCCGGGCGAAGTCGCCGTTGATACACACCATTGTCTTTATTAGGCAGCTTCAGTCTCGCTCGGAAGTACGGTTGGATTCCGCTAGCTAGAATGCAGAAATGGGCACTTTTTAAGAGGCACTTAATGATTAGGTTATTCTTTATTATCACATTGGTATCATTTATTGATCTGAGGTTAGATTACAAAATAAGGCCATGTAACGTAAATTATTTCTAATGCGTGGCAGATGCAGGCGCAGCCATCTTGTTCGCTACAACGCACACGCAACGATCGTTCGCCTATAATGAATACGCGATACGCACACAATTATCATGATGCGCTTTTAGAGCTCAAATGAGATCGACCAATGAATTAACTTCTAATACGCGAGTTTATTACACGGAGCTGGCTAGCTTACTTTGCGGGTTCTGTTCTCGTTTGCTTGTGTCGCTCAGGCTATCTTTCCGATCACCGGAGAAGTCAGCTGTTCGGGGTCGGTTGTCCGCTACAGCTCCTCTCTCAGGATGCCTTTTCAGGTTGGGGACGTCTAATTAACTCACAATCCTGGTGTTCGTTTCGCGTTGCGGTTCAAAAACAGGTGTCGGTTCCGTCGCAACACGTGCGTATCCTCGAGAGTTTTCTCTTAGATTGACTTTTTCTATCTCACTCTCTCTATTCGTACGCGGTGCGCACCATACCTTCATGGCCGGTAGGTGCTGCCTCCACGGCAGTCTTCCTGACGAAACGAGCGCGCGGATATAACGTTCAACGTTACAGTATAAAGAAAAATTGTTTTATGTCAAAAAAAAAAATTGCATGTATATGTGTGTAAAAAATAATATACAGGGTGGGCCATTTTATTGACCTAGTGAGTTTTCTCAGAAACTATGAGAGTTAGCGAAAAACCGTTCAGATCAAAGTGGCTCAACTTTGAGGAGAACCTATGACCTTGCCTTTGATCTTGGAGATCGTGTTCAAAGTCATTTTAAGATCAACTTTGTTTTTTAAATAGAAACATCTATTTTTAAATTTAAAATACCTATTTATTTATTCGATCATGGATTCGAATTGGGCGGCAAATTCTACATTCAGATTAAATAACATAGTTGGGGTCTGCATGACTCCAAGGTCACGTAGAGGTCAGTTTTCTTTTTTTTAATTTTTTCACTCGAATACTCGGGCAAGGGTAAGGTTCAGCGAAAAATGTTTTAGACTATGTTTGCTCAACTTTCAAGGACAATTTTTTTTCCCATGGAAGCCCGTTTTATTTATCCCGAATTCGAACTAGAGCGGAAAATTTTTCATCTAAAATATTTTATAAAAGTAACAATGTCACATTTATTTATTATTGACCCAATAATCAAATAAATTAATATTAACCCAATAATCAAAGAAAAATTTTTACTTTCATTTTACATTTATTTTATTTTAACCAGTTATGGCAAAGTCAAATACATGTTAAGTTGGTAAGAGTAAGTAATTGTAAGGATTTGAAAAAAGTGAAAGTTTTACGTTCATTTAATGTTTATTTTATTTTACCAAAGATATGACAAAGTAAAATACACTTTAGTCTGCTATTTATTTAACGATTTACTAAATATATAAATACATATACATCATCCTATTTTTACATAATTTAAATAATATTAATTTAACCTCGAGGCAAATGTTCGAAGTTACCTTCATTTACTTGAAAGTATAAAATTAATCGCCTCTGGATAAGTACTTAGCCTACAAAAGAAAAACGAAAATTTTGGAAAAGTGGCGTTTTATATTTCAACATAGTCTCCTTTTAGTTCGATACACTTGGCCCAGCGATGCTCCAACTTCTTTAACCCGTCTGAAAAATACGTTTCCTCGAGGTCTGTAAAGTAGGCTTCCGTGGCAGCGATTACCTCCTCATTCGACTCAAATTTCTGCCCGGCGAGTGACTTTTTCAAGTTTGGAAACAAAAAGAAGTCGCACGGGTCTAAATTTGGAGAATACGGTGGATTGGGCAGCAGTTCGTAGCCTAATTCGACCAATTTGGCCATGGCGACGGCGAAGGTGTGAGCCGGTGCGTTGTCATGGTAGAAGAGCACTTTTTCCTTCTCCAAATGGGGCCGTTTTTTCTGCAATTCGACGTCGAATCGGCCCAATAATTTGGCATAGTACAGCCCTGTGACCGTTTTGCCCCTCTCCAGGTAGTCGATGTAGATCACACCTTGTAAATCCCAGAAAATGGTGGCCATCACCTTTCCGGCCGATGGGGCAGTCTTCGCCTTCTTCGGAGCACTTTCGCCGGGTGAAGTCCACTGTTTCGACTGTTCCTTGGTCTCTGGTGTATACCAGTGGATCCATGTTTCGTCGACTGTCACGAACCGATGCAGAAACTCCTTCGGATTGCGCTTAAACAGCATCAGACATTGCTCTGAAGTTGTCTCACGGTTGCGCTTGTTGTCCGGAGTGAGCAAACGCGGCACCCATCGCGCCGACAGCTTTCTCATGCCCAAAATTTCATGCAGGACTTGACCGACGCGGTCTTTTGAGATGCCTACGATCTTAGCTATCTCGCGCACCTTCAATCGTCGATCTGCCAATACGAGATCGTGAATTTTCGTCACGTTATCCTCTGTGGTAGCCGTTTTCGGAGCACCTGGACGTGGCTCTTCAAAAATCGACGTGCGACCACGTTGAAACTCGTTAAACCAATTTTTGACGGTCGCCATCGAAGGAGAAGAGTCACCGTACACAGCATCCAAGCGCTTTTTGATTTCGCTGCGCGATTTCCCTTCCAAAAACAAGAATCGAATCACCGACCGATACTGCTCTTTTTTCATTTTTCAAAAATCAACGGACACACTTGCTTTCACACGCTCTCAAAAATAAACTACAACTCCAATCCGGCTGAAATCTTGACAGTAACCATCGAGAAAGTTGTACTACGTGATAGAATATTTCTTTTGCGAGAGTGGCGCCATCGGGCGGTGAGGCTAAGTACTTATCGGACCACCCTCGTATACGAATATTTGCAATAGGCATGACTCATATTGCAACTAGATGTGTTACGTGCATTGCGTGCATAGCTAATATGATCATATTCTAGCAATTTTATGATACTTTTAAATATCGTAAACAAAATAAAGTAATGGATTGTTAATTAATTTTGCGTTTTTACAATACACGAATATAATAAGTAAACATGAATTTACTTAATTTTTATAATTATATAGAATTCTATAGAATTCGATCTAAAACAGTAACGAATTGCAAACAACGGATAACTTCAGATAATTTATCGAAACTAAAAGCATTCTATAGAGTATTGAATAACATTTCTTACCGTGAAAATCCGACATGTTTTATATTATGCTGTGGAAAGCCAGTGAGTCAGTTTAGTTTACCGTTGTCGCTACAAAGAACGTGAGGCTCACTCGTGAACAATATCAAGCGAAATATGGAAAAAAATGACTTGACGTGGATATGCTAACGGTAAGTAATTTAAATTAGACATACATACTTGTATATCCACACATACATATAATATATAAATACACAATACATGCACACAATCATGCACGTAGTGCGTATCCATTAGCACACGAGCTCATACACACACGCGTGTACGCATTCTCACACGCATACAGCCATGCACACTCATACACATACTATTGCTCGTACGATGATCATGCACATACTTGACTGTTTTTATTTAGATGATGAAGATTATTTGAACAGCTTAGAGGTTTGAACTGATAGAATAAATATTCATTCGCAACAGCGTAAAAAAGACAATTTAACTCAAAAAGTTAATAAATTTTATATAAATAATAATTATAAATATGATTTTCATTACTAGATTCGGAAGGTGTTGAAGAAAGAACTAATAAATGACTGGATTGGAAGCAAGAAATGGAAAGGTAATTTAGAAACGCGCTCGTTCACACATACATACTTAAATTTAACACATACATACTTATAATTATACACTTATACACACTTATATACATACATGCATAAATAACATACATATGTATGTTATATGTATATGTATATGTCTGTATGTTATAAGTAACACACAGACTCACGCGCTTATACACATGCGCACACATTTGCTTGCAAGCTCATACAGCCACGCCTACTTGCACACTTACGTATTCTCGCACGTACTCGCCCACGCTTGCGAGCTCGGACACACGTAAAGTCACGCACGCTCGCGTACTTATGCGCATACATACACGATCTTGTACTCATGCAATTTAACATATGTATATGAATAAATCTAATGACATTACAATCTTTATTAATCAATAAGCGATGCTTGCACTGTATTAAAGAATACACCTCCGTTCTTTTTCAAGCTGTAACAATTATTATAACCTTAAGAGGATTTGTGATATATTAATCAATAAGGTGGGAATTTTATTATGATAGGAAATCGTAATATGATACTTGTACTTTGACCGGGAGGAGAAAAAAAATACTATTTCTAAAATAGAAGCTGGTGATCAACAGCAGAGGTTAAGGCAAAGCCATTGGTTAGTGGGAACATCGCTTATTGTTGAATAAATTTGATTGATAAAGTTTCATTATATTTATTTAAACACATGTCAACTAATAGTCAAATTAATTTTATTTATAGGTACGGCTTCGTGAAGGTTCCGCGGTTTATTTTGTCAAAATATAACCGCGAAATACAGAGAGAGCAGCCAGAAGATAGTAACAGAGACATAATTCTTCGTTCTTTCCTTCTTCAGAGTTTGTAAAAAATAGCGTCAACGAATTCGAAAGATTAGTGGCATAAAATATACATTGACGCGGGAACAGAGCTTGTAACAATGCGCGGAGGGATAAAAAATTGTTTATTTTGTGTTATTTTCGTTTCATTTCACTTTTTTTCGCTATTTTTTTTTATTTTTAAAATTGTAAATTTGAAAGAAAAATGACGTTTCAACCAAATCACCTAATCACCTGATGACGGAAGGTGGTAAAAAAAGTTATAAAAAATTAGTAAAAAAGTTGCTAAAGACTTGAAGTAAAGTCATAAACAAG